GCTCCAGCGATCCTTCCGCCTCAGCCTTCCAAGTAGCTGGAACTACAGGCGCACGCTACCATGACCGGCTAATTTTTTGATTTTTGTTGTAGAGATGAGGTCTCACCAAGTTGTCCAGGTGGGTCTGGAACCCACGGGCTCAGGCAATCCACTTACCTTGGCCTCTCAAAGCATGGGATTAGAGGCTGAGCCACTGGGTCTGGCCTGGAATAGCACATTTTTATCATGATTTGATTATTTTGATTTTTAGAGATTTTTATTATCCCAGTATTCTCAGGCTTAAATACTAGAAAATTTATTAACACATAACTAGAGTTATTAGGCCATATAATATGGCCCAATATGCATGAATTTGCAGGTAATTTCTATTTGTTCTCAACATTATTCCCCATTTTTATGACTCAGTTTTGTGACATGCATATATTTATTCTACTTCTTAGTGACTAACTAAGCCTGCTGATGATTCAAATTTCCAGGATGTTGTGACAATTTATGGGGACAATGATGTAGAATATTTATAGCTCTGATTATTCTGTGCAACCTGGGACATTCTGTTACCATTTTATATGGCTACATAGACATGGATACTCACCACAATGTCTGCATTTTTAAATGATGCTTGTTCTTCCACATTGATTTTTAAAGAGATCTGGCCACTGAATTCCTCCTAAGAATCCATTCATGCTCCAATTTTTAAAATCATTACCTATTGAAATAAACAGGACATAGTGATTTTATGAAAGCATTATTGATAGAAGAAGAGAAGTGACTCAAATTGAGATAAAGGTAGAACATGTAGCTCAGTCATGCTATACTCAGATTATTGTTGCAGAAAAAGATTTTTCCCATTTTCATAATAATTGAAGTTCAACATAACTACAGCCAGCAAAATGAATGCTCCAGACACAGGACCCTCTCCTGCCTGCGCCTTGCCCCTCTAGTGAGGCTTCATGGCCCTGCTATGGGCTCCCAGATGTCCTGGTGCTTCCTTCTCTCACGATTTATCTCACCAAGTGGTCATTTTCTGTTTGCCTAGTCATCTCTGAGGTTTTTGTTGGCAGGGAAATGTACTTCAGCTTTATTGTCTCTATGGTGGCACATAGTACCAAACACGTAGAAGGGTGTCAGTGAATGGATGAACAAGTGGGATTAAGGAAGCGAGTCAGTTGCCATGACCATTGTCTCTGCCTGATATGAGTAGTAGGGTTCATGGTAGTAGCATTTCTGATGTAAGACTTGACTTTCCAGCTGGTAAAATTGAAGAAATCGCCACCAAGGTAAGAGCCACGTTCTAGAGTGTTTTTTCATGCCATTGTGAGTTCTGAATAATAATGGCACTTTCTGTTTTACTTGTTTCTAAGCAGTTTCACTCCTGTTTGGTAGTTGGAAACAGAACCTTGCTAGACCTGTTTTCTTATGGCAGTCGCTAGCATTTATAAAACATTCAGTGCCGCCCACTCTGCCAAATCTTTGTGTGGATTATCGTAGTTAACTTTCACAACAGCCTGATGAAATAGGTGATTTGCAGGTGCTGAGGACATGGAAGCATAAGGAGGTTGAGTAACCTGTTCATAGACACAGCAAGTGAAGGATTTGGGCTCAAAACCAGTCAGGCAAGCTCTAGGACTGAGCTCTTTATCATTTCCCAATGCTATTCCTGTTTTGGTTTTTTCCAAGCCATTTATCACTGTGTGAAATTTTTGTTTGTTTCTGTACTAGAAGGCTTACTCCTTGATTGCAGAGAATGGCATTCCCAGGTGTAAAACAGCACCTGGCACCAAGTAGGTGTTCATTGAGTATTAAATTGATGAAATACGCCCTTCCAGAGCGGAAAATAAAAGATAAGGCTACTAGGTAATATCTAAGTGCTTACAATCCTTACATTTTATGAGTATTCATTTTAGGAAATAATTTGTTCAAATGGAAGACTCCTTTAAAAATGGCTTACAGAAACTCTTAACACTACTGTATTAAATATTCATCCACACATGTAAGAATGTTGACTATATATTAACTCAAACTTCCACACTGAGTTTAGGGTTGATGCAGTTTTAGACCCTTCTCTGGGGGAATGTTATTCTTTTATGTTGCTCATATCCACTCTGTTATACCTAAAATGTGCACAGCTTTGCATTCCAAGATCTTGGATCTTGTCCACTTCCCATTTCTCTCATTAGCCAATTAGGTCTAATAATTGCAAATAAAGAATAATGTAAACAGAGGTATTATACAGAACCACAGAGGACCTAGGGCCATCAGGAGCTGCCTGGGATGTTGCATCACTGGAGGTTAAAGCTGCTTCTTGAGCCACTTTGTTGTCACCCCTCCTTCTTTCCCTTTTTTATTTTTTGATTTCCTACCTTTTATCCTTTTACTGTCTCCTTCCTGAATATATTGATGGCCTCTTCACTGAGTAGTTAAATGAGACAAATCTAGCTGCTGTAAAAGCAGTTTTCTTTCTGCCAGTAACACAGTGACATTGGCTTCTAATTCCATCCCCAAGCCTGATTGCCCTCTGTAACTTCTGTAAGATCTTCTGTCTCACCCCGTACCACTATGTGGGCTTTTGAATCTTCTAGTCCTTCTGTACCATTGATACTAATGTTCTGTGATTCTGGGACTACTTTCTTTATACAGGGATTCCTAATTATTTGCTTAATTGGGAAGTTCTAAAATACAATTACAGCCATTTTCTTAAAGTATTATGTAAATTTTTTTTTTTTTTTTTTTTTGAGTTGGAGTCTCACTTTGTCGCCCAGACTGGAGTGCAGAGGCTGCTCCCAGCCACCGTAGCCTCGACTGCTGGGGTCCGGCGATCCTTCCGCCTCAGCCTTCCAAGTAGCTGGAACTACAGGCGCGCACTACCACGCCCGGCTCATGTTTTGATTTATTGTAAAGATGAGGTCTCACCAAGTTGCCCAGGCGGGTCTCAAACCCGCGGGCTCAGGCAATCCACTCACCTCAGCCTCCGAATGCGTGGGATTTCAGATTGAGCCACCGAGCCTGAATTATGTAAATATTTTAAGGGCACACTTTTAATTGAAATAAGTACATAGGTAGTAAAAATTTCCCCTACCACATCCTTGATCTGCACCCTTACATGTCTTCCCCCGGAAGAGTTGGGACCTTGTTCTTTCATGTTGGAGCAGAGTTCATATCCTATTTATTTCATTTTATGTAGTTCATTCCATAGTTATTTTTGAAATATTGTCATTTGTTGTTATTGTTTATATTCAGATTATATTCAATGCCCATACTGCATGAGGAGGTTTAATGAAACTGCAGCCAAGAGACATATTAATTTCTGCAAGGATCAATCTTCTCGCCGAGTCTTTGACCCAGCCCAGACAGCAGCCAAATTGGCATCCAGAGCTCAGGTAACTGTCTCTTCCCAGGTGTTGGAACTTGTGCCCTTGCAGGCCTGGGGCAAGCAGGAAAAACTTACTAGAGAATGTCAGTTACTCATTCTAAGACGTGTAAGCGTCAAGAGAACTGATCACCATCACTCATCCCCATGGGAGTCAGTTTCTTTTGGCAGGGCAGTGCTTTCCATCTAATAGCACATTTGTGTGTTTTAGAAAAATATCTTGAAAGCTTTTTTGGATGAAGACTTGAGTATATAAATACTGTTTCTATAGCATTATAGGAACTGTTTGTCCAACATTGGTTATCATCCTTAACCACTGAGGAAAGAATTGTGATTCTTAAGTGAAACTGCCTGAGTTGGGGTGGCTGTCACAAGGAAACTGCCCTATCAGTCCGTGTGTCTTGTTCTATAAAGGAGGCTCTTCAGTCTTTTATTTAAAGCCACAGAATCAGCAAGTTAAAGGGTTATGTGGATGAATGGAAGCAACTGTTATAAGTGGATTCAAAAAGGTAAAATAACAACTTGAGGTAAAATACCACAAATTTATAAAATGCAGAACTAGAGTCAGCAAACAACTTTGTACACATCAAAGGTCCCAGGGCCATAACTCACACTATAGCATAAAAACTTAGTTTCATGGCTAGGACACCAAGAAGAGATTAAGTTGGTCTGAATACTTTTAAGAGAATACAACATGTTTAGAAAACTTTCCATTAAAGGGATGGAACTCTTTCAAACAGTAGCATCTCTCACAGACTGTGGATTCTGAACTCTATCCCCATATTCATTAGAGAATTAGTGACCATCTGCTGTGTATCAGACACTATGCTAGGTATTGGTTAATCAAGACATTGTAGTTGAAAGGAGGAGAAGGACTTGGAATCAATACAGCATGGAGTTTGTGTAGTTAATGTATATATGAGGGCTGTGGAAGAAGAAGCCACTGTGATTCCTGGAAGTCTTCAAAGGCAAGCAAACGTCTTCCCCTTAAATATAAAAATGGGCTCACCAGCCTAGAGTTGGAATTGGAAAGGATTTTATGCATAAAGCATCCACCTTTTGAAGCACCTACCTGTGAGGCTAAAGCATAGAGTTCCTGTGGAAGACAAGGTGGGCAGCCAGATCTAGAAGGACTTTAACTCAATTCAGTTCAGAGGAGGAGGCAAAGAGGAATTGATTGGATAGATGACCAGAATCTGACGACAGCCAGGTCTGAGAGTCTGGAAGCAGGAACTGGGAAGTCCCCAGGCAACCAGGCAGTCCTTCTTTCCATCTTGCCATCCAGTTTTTTCCTCCTGCCTTTTCTCCACCCTGTATACTGGCTTTCTTGGCTTTTCTGTCTAGTTGTCTATTATTGGCCTCAGGTGCCATCACTAGGTAGTATAGATTGATCAGTGGAGACTGGAGTGACATGGAATTGGCTTTTTAGAAAGGTTACCCTTACAATTACTGTTTAGGATGGATTGGTAGGAAAGAATGAGGACCTGGAGTATGAGGATTAATGGGGGTATGTGGGAGGAAGAATTTCAGAAATAATTGATGAGACTGAGAAAATGAAGTATTCAGCTCCATAGCCTGAACAGATAGAAATACTATATCTCTTGATAAAGGAACACAAGAGGGAGGAGATAAGTGTTAAGGGACAGTGGTTATGATAATAGTTTTAGAGATTCAGTCTTTACATCTGAGATAGCATGGAAGCAATGTAATATAGAAAGAGCTGGGATTCTGCAATCAGTAGCCAGTGTTTGAATTTCAGTTCTATAACTTATCTGTAGGTAAACTTGCCCAATTTACTTAAAGTCATTGAAGCTCACTTTAATCTGTAAAATACGGTTAATCACATGTGCCTTGCTGAGTTGTTAGAAAGATTATAGGTAAGTAGATGATCCAGCTCCAGCGTCTTGTGTATAGGGATTTCTCTATCCTTCCTCTCTCCACTTTACCCCACCCTTCCCCTCTCATGTAGCCTTTTCCTGTTGGTAGGATTGGCACCACAATTTTGAAGGGATATGACTGCTTTGCGCTTGGATTCAGCCTAATTTGGAAACGTTTTTAAGTATAACTCCACCTACACTTTGTAAAGCAGTAGAGGGCAAGTTATTTTTCTACAAATGTTTCTTCTAACCAGTCCATGAAGTAAGTCGGCATTAGTGGGGCCAAAGAGAGCACAGGGAAGCAGCAAACGGAAGTGTTTTTTTATTCTTGAAGAAGGCCAGCTGGCTGTCCTGTATGTAACCAGTGACTTGGCTGCATTCCCCTCCTTGTTTTCCAGAACTAAGTGGTGATTGGGAACACAGAAGAAAAATTGCTTGCTTTTTGAATTCCTTCCCTCACTGTAGAGTATATCTGAACAGCAGTGTTTGTTTGCCTTGTGCCAGCTTCACCACTTTGGGGCCTTGCCTAATGGTGAAGCTTATTCAGAAATGGAACAAGAGGGTAGGGATTGTTTCAGTTCTGAAGACTGTTAATGGCACAGTCAAAATGTGTTTCTATTTTAAACATAATCAACTTTAAAAATGTGTCATACCCTTAACCAAAAGAGACCAATATGGGTCTCTAAAAATAGCTCTCCTTGTTTGGATGGAGTTGAGCTGCCTGCTTTAGTCTCACAGCCATCCTTGACCAAGTAAGAATTCACACTCCAAGTAACAGGTTATCTTCACACAACAGTTTCTATGGCACTGGCAGTGGAATCAGTGGTGAGGTCAAAGGAGCTTGTGAAAAACCTGTTGGTCCTTATTTTGTTTTAGTGTAACCATTCTGCTGCTGCTACTCTGTAGAGAGGGGGATGGCATAGGGATATTGGAATTTCATGCTCAAAACATTTGCTGCCTGCCAATCTGTTTTTCTTCTCTGTTCATGTTAAAAAACAAAATCATCTTCAAGTGTAATGAAAAAATAAAATGTTCTATAAATATATCCTTATTGACACTAAGTGATTTCTTATGTATCCCTACAACTAATTTTATGGGATAAACATACTGCCAACAACCCCAAGGGCTTAATTATGGAATGAAAGCTCCAAACCCAGATATGGCTTTGAGTATCAGCAGGGAGGCCAGGAACCAGACAAAGTGAGGTGCAGTGTGTATGTATCTCCTCTTCCCCGGGGTACAGAGAGTCCCTGAAGATGATGCTAATCTGCTGCTGATTAAATGGAAACAGCTTTATCTCCTGTGTAGTACCTGAGATTACAGAAGTGTGCTCCCTGTGTCTCTACTTCTCTTTCCCTCTGTAGGGTAGGGCTCAGACAAGTCCAAAAAAGGAACCAACTGTTACCAGTGCTGTGGGAACTTTGCTGCAGAACAGGGCCACGGAGGCCATGAATGGAGGCCCAACCAAGTCAGGTGAGTCAGAGCATGTATTTCAGCTCTCTAATGATGGAGGTCAGAGGTGGCCATTGTTGGTTTTGGGATTTATCAGTGGTCAGCAAAAGCTATCATGACATTCACTGTTGCTTTTGGATACAAGGGTATGTGGATTTGTTTTAGATTAAAACATATTTGCCAAGAGGGAATATTTCTTAATTTATCAAGATTATATGACTTTGACAGCATACAAAATCAAATCCAATTACAGCAGCAGGAGTCTAGACCTATTGTTCTCCTGTCTAGTAAAATTGAAAGGAGATCAAGAGTAAGGGAAGACCACATGCCATGTGTTGTATTGAAAATAAAGGGAGAGTTTCCTTTCTAGAAATAAACACAGATGCTTCTTGATTTACAATGGAATTATGTCCTGACAAACTCATTACAACTGAAATATCATAAGTTAAAAGTGCATTTAACACCCCCAATAAAACTTCCTTAAGCTGAAAAATTGTAAGTCAACCATTGTAAATAGGGGACCATCTGTACTCATCCCATGGTATCCATGGGGATTGGTTTCAGAATCTCTGAGGTGTAGTATTTACATATATCCTTTGCACATCTTCCTGTATACTTTAAATCATCTGTAGACTACTTGTAATACCTAATATTACTTAAAATAGCTATACTACCTAACAACTAATGTAAGTTCTATGTAAGTAGCTATTATACTGTATATTTTAACTTGTATTTTTTATTGTATTGTTTTTTATGTGTTAATATTTTTGGTCTTTGGTTTGTTGAATCTGCAGGTGGAGACCTCATGGATAGGGAGGGCTGTCTGCAGTTTCTTCAAAGTAGTAGCAAGGCATAACTACCATTATAGTTCTGGATGATAGTAGCCACCCTAATGGGTGTTAGGTGGTATCTCATTTGTAGTTTTGATTTGCATATTTCTAACAATTAGTGAGATGTTAATCATCTTTTCAGATGCTTATTGGTTATTTGTATATCTTCTTTGGAGATATGTCTATTCAAGTCTTTTGCCCATTGAAAGTCTTTTTTTACTTAGTTCCAGTGTGATAGAAAAATTTTGTTGTTGTTGTTGACTTTTAGTCTGCATATTAATCCTTTATCAGACATATGATTTACAAATATTCCCTCCCATTCCATGAGTTGCATTTTTACCCTGTTAATATTGTCTTTTGATTCACACATTTAAAAAACTTTCATGGTCATATTTGTTTGCTTTTTCTTTGGTTGACCATGCCTTTGGTGTTATATGCGAGAAATCATTGCCTAATTCAAGGTCCCAGAAATTTACTCCTATGTTTTCTCCTGGGAGTTTTATAGTTTTGGATCTTATGTTTTTGTATATGATCCATTGTGAGTTAATTTTTATATATGGTGTTAGATAAGGGCCTGATTTGATTATTTTCACATGGATATCTAGTTTTCCCAATACAATTTATTGAAGACAGCCATTTCCCAATTCAGTGGTCTTGGCACCCTTGTCAAAAGTCGTTTGACCATGTATACAAGCATTTGTTTCTGGACTCTATCTCATTGAACTGTATGTCTTTCCTTATGCTAGTATTGTTTTGATTACTGTAGACTTGTAGTAAGTTTTGACATCAGGAACTGTGAGTCCTCCTTGGCTATTTTGGGGTCGTTTGAGATTTCATATGAATTTCAAGATGGGTATTTCTATTTCTGCAAAAAGCTTCATTGAAATTTTGATAGGGATTACACTGAATCTGTAGATTGCTTTGTGGACGTCTTAACATTAGTAAGTAATCAAATCCATGAACATGGAATATATGTCTACTTATGTTTTCTTTAATTTCTTTCATCAATGTTTTATAGTTTTCAGTGTACAAGTCTTTCACCACATTAATTCCTAAGTGTTTTATTATTTTTGATGCTACTGTAAATGAAATTGCTTTCATAATTTCCTTTTCAGGTAGTTCATTGTTAATGTATAGAAGCACAACTGACTTTCATGTGTTAACTTTGTATTCTGCTACTTTGCTGAATTTATTTGTGAGTTCTAACAGTTTTTTTTGTGTGTGATATCTTCAAATTTTAAAAAAATCATAGTGCCTGTGAACAGAGATAATTTTATGTCTTCCTTTCCAATTTGGATGCCTTTTATTTCTTTTTCTGGCCCAATTGCTCTGGCAACAACTTCTAGTACTGTATTGAATAGAAATGGTAAAAATGGGTATCCTTGCCTTGTTCCTGATTTTATAGGGAAGGTTTTCAGTCTTTAAACACTGATTGTGATGTACTCTGTGTGTTTTTCATATATGGTTTGAGGTACTCTATTCTTAGTGTATTTAATGTCTTTATCACGCAAGGGCATTGAATTTTGTCAAATGCTTTTTCTTTATCAATTGAAATGATGGTGTTATTTTTGTTCTTCACTGTGTTAATATGGTGTATTACATTGATTGGCTTTTGTGTGTTGAAACATCCTTGCATTCCAGGAATAAATCCCACTTGGTCCTGGAGTATAATGGTATATAAGTCTTTTAATATGCTGCCAACTTTGGTTTCCTGGTACTTTGTTGAGAATTTTTGCATCGGTGTTTATAAGGGACTGGGATGATGCTGGCCTCATAGAATGAATTAGGAAAATTTCCCTCCCTTCAGTATTTTTGGGAAAAGTTTGAGGAAAAATTGGTGTTCTCTTTAAATGTCTGGAAATCTTCCCCAGTGAAACTATTAGGTCCAGAACTTTTTTTATTTTTCATGAGATTTTCTATTACAGATTCAATAGTTTTACTAGTTATAAGTTTATTCAGACTTTCTGTTTCTTTGTGGTTTAGTCTTGGCAGGTTTTAGTTTTATTTAAGTTATCCAATTTGGCATATAATGTTCGTTGTACTCATAAAATCCTTTTTATTTTTGTAGCATTGATAATAATGCTTTCACTTTCATTTATAATTTTTACCATTTGAGTGTTCTCTCTGTTTATCTTAGTTCATCTAGCTAATGGTTTGTCAATTTGTCAATCTTTTCAAAGAATCAACTTTTGGTTTCATTGATTTTTCTGTCATTTTTCCATTCTCACTTTTCTCTATCTCTGCTCTAATCTTTAATATTTACTTTCTTAAGCTAGCTTTTTTTTTCTTTTCCAACTCCAACCCAAAGTTGAAACTTCTGCTAGCTTTTTGGTGTAGTTTCCTAATTTCTTAACTTGCAAAGTTAGATTTTTGAAAGGTCTTTTTTCTTTGTTTGTTTGTTTGTTTTGAGTTGGTGTCTGTCTGTGTCACCCAAGGCCAGAGTTCAGTGGCATAATCACAGCTCACTACAGTCTCAACCTTCTGGGCTTAGGCAATTCTTCTACCTCAGCCTCCAGAGTAGCTGGGATTACTGGTGTGCACCATCACACCAGGCTGATTATTTTATTTTATTTTGTAGAGATAAGGTCTTGCAATGTTTCCTAGGCTGGCCTTGAACTCCAGGGCTCAAGCAGTCCTCCTACCTTGGCCTCCCAAAGTGCTGGGATTACAGGCATAAGCCATCAGCCCAGCATTGTTTTTTTTAATATAAGCATTTATAGTTGTAAATTCCTCCCTTAGCACTGTTTTTGCTGAGTTCCATCAGTTTTGGTGTGTCATGTTTTGAGTTTCATTTGTCTCCAAGTGTTTTTAAATTTATCTTGTGATTTTTTTCTTTGATCCACTGGATGTTGAAGAGTATGTTGCTTAATTTGCACAAATTTTTTAATTTTCCAGTTTTACTTCTGTTTTATCGCGTTGTGATTTGGAGAAGACACTTTGTATGACATGTATCTTTTGAAATTTATTGAGAGTTATTTTGTGGTCTAACATGTAGTTCATTTTGGAAAATGTCCCACATACACTTATGAAGAATGTGTATGCTGTTGTTGGGTAGAGTGCTCTATACAGTCTGTTAGATCTAATTGGTTTATTGTGTTGTTTAAGTTCTCTGTTTCTTTACTTTTCTCCATCTGGTTGTTATTGAGAATGGGACATTGAAGTATCCAATTACTATTGGAGAACTGTCTATTTCTCCTTTCAGTTCTGTTGGATTTTGCTTCATCTATTTTGATGGCCTGTCATTAGGTTCTTCTTTGCTTCTTATAATCTTTTTTGGTCTAAAGTTTATTTTGTCTGGTATTAGTGTAGCCACTCCTACTGTTTTTGGTTATTTTTGCATGTTAGTTATTTTTCCGCCCTTTCACTTTCAATCTATTTGTGCCTTTGGATTTAAAGTGAATCTCTTATATATAGCATATAATTAGACATTTTTTATCCATTCTGCCAATCTCTGTCTTTTAATTGGAGACTTTAATCCATTTACATTTAAAGTGATTACAGATAAGGAAGGACATCTGGCATTTGTTATTTGTATAGTTTTTTTTTTTCTTCTCATTTTCTACATTACTGTCTTCTTTTGTTTTTACTTTTTTTTGCAGTGAAACATTTAAATTACTTGCTAATTTTTGGGAATATATAGTCTATAGCTGTTTCCCTTGTGGTTACTATCAGGATTATATTTAGCATCCTAATGTTACAACACTCTAATTTGAATTTATACCAACTTATCTTAAATAACACAGAAAAACTCTGCTCCTTCAACAGCTTTGTTTCCACTTCTTTTGGTTGTTGATGTCTCAAAATTGCATCTTTATACAGGTTGATATCCCTACTCTGAAAATCTGAAATCTGAAATGCTCCAAAATCTGAAACTTTTTAAATGCTGACATGATGTTCAAAGAGATATTCATTGGAGCATTTCAGATTTTAGCTTTGTAAATTAGGGATGTTCAACCATAAGTATAATGTAAACATTACAAAATTCAGAAAACATCAGAAATCTGAAGCCCTCTGGTCTTAAGCATTTCATATAAGAGATATTCACCCTGGATATTGTGTGCCCAAAAACATAAATTAATAATTATTCTAAGTTACTTAAATTATGTATAAAACAAAATGTGGAGTTTCAAGCCAAGGTTACTAGTTTTTAGACTAATAATTGATTTTTTAATGTATTAGCCACTTAAATCA